AAGAGTAGGAGAAGGTGAAAAAAAGGTGGATAGCGATATCATGAAAACCATACGGTTTGTAAAATAATCATATTCCTTTATTTCGTTTCCGGTTTGCAAAGTGATCATAATTTTTTTCTTGTTTCCGGTTCGTAAAGTGATCATACTTTTTCTCTTGTTTCCTGTTTAAGATTGGGTTAATTGTTCCTTCTTCCTGAATTAATTCTCATTCTCTCTCTCTCTCTCTCTCTATATATATATATATATATATTGAGACAGGTTTCGTCAAACAACTTATGTTATGTCTACTTATTCTTTCGCGGATATTTGTGCGATCATTAAAAAAGCCAAGAGGACTATCCTCTCTCTCTCTATCTATCTATATATATGTATAGTGATTATTCGGACATTATATATATATATATATATATATATATATATATATATATATATATATATATATATATATATATATGTGTGTGTGTGTGTGTGTGTGTGTCCGTTGGTATATAATCCAATTATATCCTATTAACACAATATAAAACATTAAATATTGACGATTAAATATTAAAACTAATTCACACAAAATATTCTTTATAATAAATAGATATAAATATATTTCATACAGTCGAAATTGAGATACCATTATCGGAATTAAGGTACCATCACTCATATAAAGACGTATGCTACTTCCTGTTTATTTTTGCCACCTTCCCTTCCCTTGTATTCTTTTCCTTCTTTACCTCGTTTTTTTTCCTTTCTGTTCCTCACCCTTGTCTATTTTTCTTTTTATTTCAGAAAATTATCCAGTGACTCTTTGAAAATTCCTGTAAATTTAATTTTACGCGAAGGAAATGATCATTTACATAATGGTATCTTAATACCGATTGTATGATAAGTCCACCATATATATATATATATATATATATATATAAGTATACAGATATATATAATTAGAGGCGATAGTCTGTTACGTGCTAACAATTAGAGGCGACAGTCTATATATATATATAATATATATATATATATATATATATATATATATATATATATATGTATATTACCTCTCTAGAACTTTCATACATTTCCCTCTCACACTTCTTTCCCATGCCCACAAATACACTCTCACTAAAATTTTCTTTTTATACCCGGAGTTATATTTTCCGATTTCTTTTTGAATTTGTAGGTCTGATGATATGGATCGTGATTACGATTCCAAGGTAATAAATTATAACATTGGAATATTAGTGTTTTGAGCCTTTTATATTATATTCTTACTCTGTCCTTGACATTGCGTTCTATCTGGATTCTATCCTCTTGGGATTTTATATATATATATATATATATATATATATATATATATATATATATATATATATATATAGAGAGAGAGAGAGAGAGAGAGAGACCACTAATATTATCAATATATATATATATATATATATATATATATATAATATTAGTGGAAAATATACATACATATGCAGAATATATAAATAATAATGGTAAGGAATTTGTAGGTCTGATGAATTGGATCGTATTTACGATTCCATTGGGATAAATTATGACCATGGAATATTAGTGTTTAAGCCTTTTTATTATATTATATATATATATATATATATATATATATATATATATATAAACAATAATACAATAATATTCCATATATTATATATATATATGTATCTATATATATATATATATTACATTGTGTAATACATGAGAGTGTATATGTGGGAGTGGGAAACAAGTGTGAGTTTCTTACTCTGTCCTGGATATTGAGTTCTACCTGGATTCTATCCTCTTAGGAATATATATTGCATTCACTTGCGCACAGATCACCTTGAAGAAATATGAATGCATCCCTTCCCCCAGCTACGGATTAAATAATTCATATCCTAAAAACAAAAACTTTTAATTCTATTTTTTGCAAAAGATGAGATATTCTTACAATCTTAACAATATTTCGTCTTTAAATAGGCGACGATAAGTCGTGATGAAACAAACGAAATGAAATGAAATTCTGACGAGGTATCAAGAAGCACCAAGAAGCATGACTTTGAATCATGAAACATACATGTTTTTTGCCACGTATCCTCCCCATATTTCATCTAACTTGGTATAATCTGTCTCAAGTTTCTTTCACATATCTAAAAATATTCATATATTTGGCCCCTGAAATGCTGGTTTCGGGAAGTGGGTCGAGCTGAAATCTTTTCAGCACCACCTATGTGTTTGTGTGTGTGCGTGTGTGTGCACGGAGAAGAATTTTCTTGTACGCGCGAGCGTGTCATATGATATGGTGAAGTTCCAAAATGGCTGCTGGCCTCCGAATGGAAATGAAAGGAAAACATTTTGCCCACCGATGATAAAACAGTGTGTGTGTGTGTGTGTGTGTGCGTGTGAGAGTGTGTGTGTGAGAGAGGAGAGAGAGAGAGAGAGAGAGAGGGATTAGAGGAAGCAAAGGAGGGAAAAGAAAGGTCTGAGGAAGGAATTCAAAGGCGAAAGAGGAGAATTGTCAAAATATATCAGAAATAGAAAAATAGGCAGAAATCTTGAATGTAGAACATAAAGTGAAATACAAAATAAACGAGGATATAGATAGATAGATAGATATAGATAGATAGAAAGAGAGAGGTAGAGAATGACCAAGTGAGAAAGAGAAAGAGAGAGTGAGTAAGGAAGAGAGAGTGGGAGTAAGAAAGAAAGAGATTGAAAGAGAAAGAGCAAACGAGCGAGTGAGTAAGCGCGAAATTGGCCGAGAGTGTGTGTGAGAGACTGAGCGAGCGTGAGGAAGCGAGAGAGAAAGCGATAGTGAGAGAGTAAGGAAGAGAGATACAGCGAGAAAGCGCGAAAGAAAGTACGTGAGAGTAAGCGAGAGAGTGATTAAGTGAGAGATTGAGCAAGTGAGAGAGAGCGTATGGAGAGAATGAGAGTCAGAGCGATAGTGAAGAAGCAAGAGAGAGTGAGAATAAGCGAGAAATAGAGTGAGTAATCAACAGAGAGAGAGAGAGTGTGTGTGTAAGTGAGAAAGAGAATAAGTGAGAGAGAATGAGTGAGTAAGCAAGAGAGAGTGAGAATAAGCGAGAAA